GAACGTTCCGGTCTGCAACACTCTGTCAAGGTCAACTCTTTGCACGAGAAGGCCAACAGGTTTCAGCCAGACCAAAGAGCGTCTTTCATCGAATTGATGGTCCTCCTTGCACAGTGGAGGCTTGTCTTGGTGTGCATCCCATGGAACCGACCACAGAGCACAGAGTCCTGCATCATGGAACCGCTCGGGCTGAACTTCAGCAAAAACCACTGTATCTCTCTACAGATAACACAGTGTGGAGCTGGAGGAACACAACAGGCCAGGTAGCATTGGAGGAGCAGGAAAGCTGACGTTTCGGGTCAAGACGCTCTGTCTACAGACCTTCTTTTCAAAGGCACATCCCAGAAGGAGATGTGTGACAGTCTCCTCACCAGCACAGCTAATACCAAGGGTCTATGCAGAGTTTGATGCAGCCGTACACAAAGGTGGCCATCAGGATGAGGGTGGTGTCGGATATGTTCTTTCCTCCCCTTTATCCAGAGCTTTGTACGTCTTTGTCCATCTTTGACCTCCAGATGAAGTGGAAGGTGGCTCGGGTGGCTGCAATGGTGCAGGCTCAGGGAATGGGTCAGACCTGCGCCACATGCCGCAATACCAACAGTGCCTCACAGCTGATGGCCAGGTTTTTTTTTTACCAGAAATGGAAATAGAGTAGTCGTCCCATCCATCCAGTTTCTGCCTCACCTTGGCTTCCCCCAAAATTTTGTGTATGCTCTGATTCAAGGGTCTGTTTCCATGCTGTATGGCTCTATGATTCCATGACAGAAGAAAATAAAACATTGGAATTAAAAATTGACTTAGGATAGAGAAAAAAGAGATAGAAAGTAAATGTAAGCAAGGAAAGTTTTAAGTGCAAGTTGTGGCATTTTCAAGACCCCCTCAAAAAATACAAAAGCTTAAGAAATGTGACTACACCACACTCATAGATCCTTTTCATGGCCAGAGATGTTGATTTACAGTCAATTGACTTCACATCTACTGTATCATCAAAAGGACATTTAAGCTTGCAGTAAGAAGGCTTAACTTTTGCTGAGTTTAGCGAGCAATTAATTTGGCAAATACAGCAACTAACTAACAAAAGAGACAAGACTAAATACAAAGTGTTATCTTCACAAATTTATTGGTGGGGAACATAATGGATTTTGAATATTCACTTTTAGCCACACATTTTCTTCTTTCCTAAAGTTTCTGTATCATTTATCCATAAATAATGATGAGCACCATCTCACCATTTTGCAGAAAATTTTAGCCCATTAATTAAATCAAAATCTTATGATGGAAAATTTGCCTAAAAACATAATTGTCACAAAACTACAATATTGATAGAATTGAAAATCACGGATTCAGGTACTAATCATGCCACACTTCACAGATGCACTTTTACATACACTACAATTATTTATTGTTTTATTTTTCTTTCAAGCAAATAATTTACAAAATCCACAGAAACATGGAAACATAGAAAATAGGAGCAGGTGTAGGCCATTTGGCATCTCAGGCCTGTTCTGCTTTTCAACATGATCATGGCGGATTATCGAGCTGAGTACCCCAATTTCACCCTGCCCTCATGTCCCTTGGTCCCTTTAGCCACAAAAGATACATCTACTTCCATCTTGAAAGTACAATGTTTTGGCCTTAACCACTTTCTATGGTAGTGAATTCCTAAGGCTCACCACTCTCTGGGTGAAGAAATTTCACCGCATCTCAGCCCTAAGATGTTTACCCCTTAAACAATGACCCTTGGTTCTGGACTCCTCCACCATCGGGAACATCCTTCCTGCACCTAACCTGTTTAATCCTGTTCGAATGTTGTACGTTTCTATGAGATTCCCCTCATTCTTCTAAACTCCAGTGAATGCGATCCTAAACAATATGATCCCTTCTCATATGTCAGTCCTGCTATCCCAGGAATCATTCTGGTAAACCTTCATTGCACTCCCTCTCTAGCAAGAATGTCCTGCCTAAGATAAGGAGACCAAGACAGCACACAATATTCCAGGTGTGGCCTCACCAACGCCCTGTATAATTGCAGCAAGACATCCTCGTTCCTGTACTCAAATCCTCTTACTATGTTGGCCAAAACACAGTTTGCCTTCTTTACTGCCTGCTGTACCTGCATACTTACTTTCAGTGATCTGTGCACGAGGATACCCAAGTCTCAATGAATATTCCCCACTCTCACTTTACAGCCATTCAAACAATAATCTGCCTTCCTATTTTTGCTACCAAAGTGGATAACCTCATATTTATTCACATTATACTGCATCTGCTATGCATTTGCCCACTCACTCAGCCTGTCCAAATCACATGCAATATTTCTAGATTCTTCTTCAAGCTCACCTCTCCATCTACAAATTTTGATACATCACGTTTAGTTCCCTCATTGAAATAATTCACAAATATTGTAGATCACTGGGATCCTAGTACCAATTCATGTGGTACCCCACTTGTTACTACCTGTCATTTGGAAAAAGACCAATTTATTCCTTTCTGAAGATCATGAATGATTAACCCTTTCTGAAGAAGGGTCCAGACCCGAAACGTCAACTTTCCTGCTCCACTGATGCTGCTTGGCCTCCTGTGTTCATCCAGTTCTACACCTTTTTATCTCAGATTCTCCAGGATCGGCAGTTCCTACTATCCCTGAATTTATACCGACTCTTTGTTTCCGTCTGCTAACCATTTTCTGTCCATCTCAATACACTACCCCAATCCCAAGCGCTTTAATTTTACACATTAATCACTTATGTGAGACTTTGTCAAAAGCTTTCTGAAAGTCTAAATAAACTGAATCCACTGGATCCCCCTGATCAACTCTACTAGTTACACCCAGGAAGAAATCAAGTAAATTTATCAAGCATGATTTCCTTTTTGTAAATCCATGCAGACTGTGTCTGATTCTATTGCTTTCGAAGTATTCAGCTATAAAATCCTTGACAATGGACTCTAGCATCCTTCCTGTCAAGATCAGACTCACTGGTCTATAATTCTCTGTCTTGTCTCTACCTCCCTTTTAAAATATATAATGAGGTTACATTAGTTACCTCCCAATCTGTGGGAACTGTTCCAGAGCCTAAAGGGTCCAGGAAAATGTCCACTAATGCCTTAAGTACCCTGGTAGGAAGATTATCGGGTTTTGGGAATTTAGCAGACTACTCAGCCTTCCTACGATTATTCAAAAACATAGGGCATATCCTTCATAATGATATCATGACGTAGGATAATTTAAATATATCTTATTTGTTAAATTGTATGTTTCTGTCTTTACAGTATTGTGTCCATAATCCTTAAAATGTGGGGGTGGTTACTTAGGAAAGAAAGAAAACCAATTTTTAAAATCATTATATTGCATATTAATTTCTTGTTTTTATGGTTTTCATAATTCACTCTGTCATAAATATAAAAATGGATTGTAAGAATATGGTTTTGCTTTTTTATTCACTCAAGGGATGAGGGCATCACTGGCTAGGCCAGCATTTATTGTCTATACCTAGTTGCCCAGAGGGTAGGTAAGAGTCAACCATGTTGCTGTGGGTCTGGAGTCACATGTAGGCCAGACCAGGTAAGGATGGCAGTTTCCTTCCCTAAAGGACATTACTGAACCAGATGGGTTTTTCCTAACAATCGGCAATGGTTTCATGATCATCATTAGACTGTTAATTCCAGTATTGAATTCAAATTCCATCATCTGCCATGGCAGGATTTGAACCTAGGTCCTCAGAACATGTACTGTAATATTTTAACATCTCTACATGCATAAATGTCATATCTGATAATTACAAATAAAACAAGAAGATTGCAAAACATATTTTTCTAAGTAAGGCCTGACGTTTATCGACTTTATAAAGGTTTGAGCTTTTTATTTCAAATCTGAAAATGAGTTAATTGTCAGTATTTTGTGAAGTTCACTGTTAAGTGTACACTATGTGGGTTATTTACAGGTAAACTATAGACATGCTAAGTAATTGCATGGATCTATAAAATATTGCTTTTGTTAATACTAAGATTTCTAAGCATGAAGCAAGCTTGCATGGTAATGTGCTGGCATTTAATGAGGAATATTAGCATGTGCTCAGCTGGCATGAGTATTTTATAAACGTTATCATTGAAAAACAAAATATTTAACTGCCTAGATGTTATTGTCCCTTAAAACAACTGACTAGGTTTGGGGAGGGGGGAGGGTGGAGAAGGTGAACGGAGTTGGATCATTCTTTATTTTATTGACAGTGATGTCTTTACCTAGCCTGCCAGTGGAACTTAATCGTGTATGGATTGAGTTACCAGCCCTTTGAAACAAGGATGAATTTTGACCTTGAGTCCAAAGAGACATCAAGCATCACATCGATTTTGTTCCCTTACTTTTTTGTTTTCTTACTTGTGTGATTGCTGAGAAATGTTTGAACAAAGAACATAACAGTAGGTTAATGTTGCCCATTCGTGCTCTTTACTATTATTGTAATTAGCATACATTAATGAAATCAAACGAAATATGCATTTCTAATTTAAGGATCACTTGTTTTCTTGACTTTTTTGATTTTGAAAGTGATGAGACTCATAATGTCAAAAGTCATCTCATTTGATAATTTATTCCCTTTTACCAGAACTTTCCCTAATTTAGCAAAACTCAATCTACGTACGTTTTTGTTCAGATAATCTTATGCCAAATGCTTTTTTTTTGAAGGTTGGCTCAATGTTTTGATCAGAAACACAAATCTCGAACAAATTGTGCTTTTTCAGGAGTACTTTTTCTGCAGTAGAACGTCTTCCATGCCCTTTTTTTAAAAAAAATCTTTAATCCATTTCTCAACTTTACCACGTAGCAATCCAACCAAATCGTGGCAACAGCAATGATTTTGAACCGCAAGGCTCAAGCAGTGCTGCCACGGAAGAGAACAGCTTTTCAAATTTCCATTTCAAAGCACCAGGTCTATAGATTTAACCTGGTTGACCATATATGGCTAGGTGAGTATCCCAGAATGCCTTAGCTGCACAGAAGCAAAACAAAATCTTAGGTGTGTGTAACTTAGGAGGAACTTACTAAACAGAACTGGCTAAACATTCCTATATTCTAGGATCACTTGTGTGTTTAATTGGCGAGCGCACAGACGCGGATGTCACATTGGAAAGGTACATTAGCAGGAACTGGACTAATAGTGTGACAATTAGACCCTTACTGCTGCATTGATAAGTTGTGTAAAAGGTAAGAAATGCTGGACTGGCAGCTCTCAGTGTAATATGATTTTCTGACCCATTTGTATTAGGCTTCAGTTGTTTTTAATTAGGTACTATTAAACTCGGTTTTGCTTTATGTATTGTGTCATGCACTGAGGTATATAAAGTCGGATCGAAAATGGCATTACGTTTCAGAATTGTTTGGGACTCGTCTTATTTTTCACTTTGTTCACAGTAGCACATGTAACATCAATATTGTGACGGCACATGCTTTATTTGCCACTTTAGAGTCTGACGTTTGGAAGTTTACTCAGAGAGAGAGAAAACAAAACTGCCCTGGTTTTGCCCAGAGCTGTGCATTAATTACGCAGAAAGGAAGACTTAGGTTTTTTTTGTTTTAAATATATTTGATCTTACGTTGGAAGGGGATAAGTGAGCAAAATATCATACAAAATTTTAAAAAGGCACAATTAAATGATCGTGCAAACCTACATTTCAAACCGCGAAATAGTTTAATTCAAGGTAGAGATAACAGTAGATGTATTATTCTGTGACTGTAGAGTTCTCACTTGTTCACGGTTTCATAAAAATAGGTTTGAAATGTAATATCTTAAGCAGCTAAGCGCAAAGAAACAAATAGATTTTTAAAACGGTATACCACTGTTTTAATTTCTTTACAGATATAGTTTGGTTTTCAATATATGTTGAAAAGTGTTTAAAGCATTTGCATTGCAATATTTACTTCATTTTCATTACTTAATAATTTAACCATTACTTCACAAAAAAATGTAGTAAGATGCCATTTACTGGTACAGGAACATCCTTAAGTTAGTCATTTGGTGGTGCTTTCAATGTTTAGTTCAAAATGAGTTGAAAATGTTGCAACCAAAATGCTGTAGATCTCAAAAGTTTTTGTGTCGTCAAAGATAATGTAGTGCATATTTACATTGCAAATATATATTATAAAATATTTTGCAATATTTCAAAACAAGCCCAGCATTCTTTTGCTTGGAAAATACATCTATAAATTGTGTTTTATGTAAATGTGATTTAAAAATGTTACTTCACGGTATGTAAGTATTTTGGCCTAAATTACGAGTAAACATATTTGCATACAGGTCTGTGAGAAAGCTAAATTGCTTTCTTCATTGTTATGTTTTGACAGATATGGTAAAACCCTGTGTGAAGTGCCCAGTAGCTTTCAGATTGTAGAAAAGTACACACTGGACAAACGTATGCTTCTTGCCTGTTGATGAAATACTTGAGTTAGGTCAGACACACAGCTGTTTATTCAAAAACTGCAGACTTGTTCATTTACATAATGAATTTATTTAAACTACTAAAAGGGACTGGGATAACACAGTGCTGATTTCTATTGTTTTATTTAAACCAGTGGAACTGGATGCAGGAGAAAAGCGGTGGTTTGCATTACAAAAACAAAAAGCCCCGAGGCTGCTTGGGCAGAACCACAAGATTGAGCAAACAAATAGGAAGGATGAAGCTTTTGCCATTTCTTTGTCTGTGGATCAGTGATATTATCTGCTGCTGTTTAGTGGGAAAAGGTACATTGCTTAGAGCACTGACTTAAGCGAGGGTTGGTGCTGCAGTTTGCTGGTAGCTGTGTACTCCCAAGTGTCATTTCCGATTCTAAGTCTTCCTGTCAAAGTCCACTGTGGGTTTTTTTCCCCCCTCTTTGTGGAAACTGCTAAACTCAAACATTCATCAGTCAGAGTCTGCAGTGGTGACTGGACTGCACTCACCCAGCTCTGCTTCAACCTTCTCAACTGCTACTATGTTATCTGCATATAACTTGGACAATTGGTGCTTTGAGTACAGACTTTTACGTTGATCGGGAAAAGGATTACACTGGGAAATGATGGTTTTTTAAATTCAGAAGCTTGAAAGGCATCTAGAAGAGTTCAGGAGGATTTACATTTTAGCTGCCGTAAGTACAAGTCTGTATCTATTAAATTACATAGAAGAGCATTTGGACTGCCAGCACTTGTCCAATCCTCTGAGGCATCAGTAGCCCTTTTCTGCGTTTGCCCTGGAGACTTAGTAAAGAAAGGCCTAGGTTATGTTTTGAATGGTACAGTTTGTGTACTTAATAAGGTTTAATTATAATAATTAATCAATAATTATGTGTGTGGCAGAGTGAATACCCTTAAATAAAGAGAGACTATTACATTAATTTGTAGAAATATTGGTTTAATCTAATATTGATGTAACATGCCTGTTACTTCCATTCATTGCTAAGGCTCATTTCCACACACTTCTTCTCGACTTCTCAATTTAAAGGGCACACTGTAGCAGGTGAACATAGCTTTCTTTGATGAGTGGTTATAGTGATTTGTTGTAGATATTTTCATTTTTGGTTAATAATACGATGAAGAGAAAAATATTTGCTATCTTTTCTTTGATATATACCCTTAAATATACACAAAAATCTATAAAAGTATATTTCTCAATGAAAAGGAGTGTTATGAGTTTGAAACTGAGGAATTTCAAATCCCTTGTCAAATCCCTTTTCTTAATAAGTTTAAATTTGTCTTGAACGAAGCAAAATATTAGATCCCCATAAGAGACCATTTTCAGAGGAGAATAAATAGTGTCTTAAATTAAACTATTTCCATTTATTAGAGTGCCTTTACGTTGAACATATGTTTTAAATGCTTACAAATAAAATTTATTAGTAAAGTGAATTTTTTTTTATGTATGTTTGTGTTGCATGGTAATTTCTGATATGGAACGCTGTATGGGCCATTTCTATTGAAACAAGAAATTGCCTAAATGTGATAATTTTTAAAATAAATTTAGTTACAGCTTCTTTGTTTAAGTCATAAGCTATCAATTAGCTGTTACTTTGTTAATCTTGTGCTGGCTGAAACATTGCCGTTGGTATTATACCATTTGTCTCTGTGTTTTGAAGTGTATCTTTATTTGTATGGATTAAGCTGTTCACTTCATATTTTTTGGTAGAACTCAAGTAAAGGTGAATGCTTTTGTCACCAATCACCATGTTTTTGTCTTGAAATGCTGGAGATGTAATCTTAGTTGACAAAGTTAACTGTAAATTTATGTGAACATGAGAAGAAAAATAAATTAATGCAAACATTCTCTTACAAAGGGGCAGCTTTGAAGGAAAGAACACAAAGGTGCTGTCAGTTGCAAGAACAAATATTGCCAAATACAGCACCTAGAAGTACAAGTTAAAAAGTATTGTGAATGGTCGTTGGTTATATTGGAAATGTTGCATTTTTTAAAAAAGACAACTTGATGCCCAAACAACTGTGAAAATAATGATTAACTTTTAAGCTAGATAATTTGTTTGAGTTATAATTCTGTTTTGTATTCTGTCTAGCAATATAGGTTTGATAAGTATTTGATATAAGACGATACATTGTAATTGCTAACACGGTCCCGTAAAGGCTAATAATTAAGGAAAGGTAAAATTGCTTTATTTCTGATATGTATATCTATATATATATGTACTTCCAGTTCATCCCTGAGGTGGCTTATGCAAATCTCCTTAAATGTGAGAATATTTTTGCAAATGGATATCAAAGACTGTAAGATTTTCATGTGGCAGCCTTAGAAGAAATAAATGGTTTAGATTTGTGGCAAAAAAATTACTGGCAGCTGGAGTGTAGAGGTGCTAGCACCCTGTGGTGCCCTGACTGTTGCTAAGGGTTAGAATTAATTTACTCCTTCTGTCCAGATTCCTTAGAATCTACTTGGAATGTGATTTATAAGAATGGATGTTTGCATTCAGGTGTAGTTTTAATATCTTAATATTTTATTCTTCTGATGTGCAAACTTTGATAGTTCCTACATACATAAAAACACTGAAGGACAATTTTGATAGAAGTAATTTATTTGCTTTCTCTTCAAAAATTTCCCCCCAAAAATGGTGTTTTGTACTTATAGCAGTATACTAAAGACTGTAAGAAATTATCTTCTGAAAAGCTGAATTTCGCAAACTGAATATGTGACTAAAATTCAAAAACTTTACCGTATGTTATTCAAAACTGAAATGTCTAGGTATTTGATGTTTTATATTGCGTTTTACTTGTAGATTGAAAATACTTGTAGATTTTTGGAGTTTAAACACAAGTCGAGAGAAGACATTCTCATTTCTACTGGCTCTGCGGTAGGGAAAATGTGATAAAATGTCTACCTTAAATCTTGTTTGATCATCTCTCAAAGCGTTTCCCTTCTGGAAATAATTTCTGAGGTTGAAGAGCACAGCATTAACAGATTTAATGCAGCAATTCAGGCAGATGGCTAAAACAGTATGTCAGATTCAACAAAACAAAAGAAACAAATTGGAAATGTTCATGGCTGTGGGTCTACTGCAAATTACTATTTAAAGAGAAATGATACTTTAATTAAAATAATTGCAACTGAGCTAATGAATTGTTTATTTTACAAATGTTGTTTATTCTGTCTCATGGTTGCATTAGGCTTTTGAGCTTTTTTTGTGAGAGAAGGAACTTCATTGATTTCAGTTAATATTTTGTAAAGTTGCAATATGTTTTTAATTTAATGTTTAAACATGAAGAAAATGTGTTAAAAACAACTTCTTTTTATTCCTTGTTTTAGTTTATACATTTATGAAGTAATCATAGGGAAAAAAAGCAGTAATGTTTAATATATTAACCAGTAGTGAGTTACAAATGTCTTGATTACTTAGTTTGTTTCAACATCTTCAAAATATTTGATATATTTTTGCTTTAAATAACTTATTTAATGAGTTATAAATTTTTTCTAGATCTAAATTATTGCTAAATAAAAATGCAGTAGTTTTATGTTCCATGATTTTATCAAATTAGATTCAAATTGCATCTCGTTTTAAAATGAATTTTCCGAGGATGTAGTTTTCTTGGCTATTGTGGAAATTCAAATGGTTTTTGAAGTTTAGTTACTTTGAAAGTGCTATAGAATGTTCTTTTCAA